TCCCTGTGTTAGGTTCAGATTTGTACTTAACAAGCAACAAGCTGGACTGATCTAGACTCAAACAGAATTACACATTCATATTAATGAGGCCAGTATTAATACAAATGCTGAGGCCAAAACCAATATGATTGTGCCTACCTCAGCCAAACTGAATTAATGGATAATAATAGATTAATATTTAAATTAGTCTCTACCGCACTTCATTACCAATAAAAATCTCCATTACCAGGGACTGAAATTGAAACATGACCATGACACACACACTGTATACACAGCAAGTCTGCTCTTTACAAAGACCTACTATAAGGGCAGTGCTTCTGTCTCACACCTTGCTTCCCAAAAGCTGGTTCTAACTAGCAGGTGTTTTGCTTTTTGTTACATGTCCACCAGGTACAGTGACTCTTTTCCCCTGAAAATCACACTCTTGAGTTGACCAGTCAACTATATTTTTTTATAAAGCCGAGGTACCTTGTGCAGACAGCCAGAGTGTGAATTTACCAGCAACAGAGCGTTAGCTCATGTTACTTCAAAGTACCCTTGTGTGTGTGTGTCTATATACGTGCTGTGATTTGTGTGCACCCTCTCCTCCCTGCCCTCCTCACCGCTGGAACAGAGCTCATGTTCATTTGCTGTGGATGGTTCATGGGAGAAGCAGCTCGAGCTCCCATGGGTGCCTGGGATATCTGGGTGGTAGGCAGAGCCATGTGGTTGAACTGGCCGATTCCTAAAACACACAGCGGACCACAGTGTTCAACAACAGATGCACACTTTGCAAGAAAAAGTACAGATGCATGACATAATGTCGATAATTTTTTTTGTTAATTTTATACAATGTTCAAGCTACACAGTTAAATCAGCAATATACAGTCAGGCTGAAATAGAAATAAGCATTGCTGTAGCATTCCTGTATTCCCCAAGCCTATTTAACTCAAGTATAAAACAACTGAAGCTAAACTACTCTTTTTTTTTTTTGTCCCTCATTATTGGTTCATTTTCTACAGCATTTTTCTACAACCTTTGTTCTTCTTTTGTCCTTTGGCTCATCTTTTTCTGGGCTACTTTCATTACACCATATACATTTTTTGAATTAGGACCTTGACGGCTTTCTCTACAGTCCATTCTACCAGTTTTTTACTCTCTCTCTCTGTAATCTGATTCCAAAATTAGCATGTGCAACATGCTACATCCAAGATGTACCTTGTGAAACTTGCATGCGATTCATGATCTGATTTGGCATGTTGGGCAGAAGTACAGGTCCATCTAGAAAGTAAAAAGAACATAACCAAAAGATAGATAGGAGACATAACCACCACATTATTAGCTATAAATTAAAAACTACAAGAACATCCACTGGCAATGTATAGTTTTCACTTTACGGGTTTTATGGAGTTAGTCTCACTGTTAAACTAACGAAACCAATAAAGCTTCTGGTAACATGACCAGGGCAAGATGTGGGCAAGTACAGGGTAAGGGAGAAGGTAGAATGCTACCCAGGTGTTCTCAGCGAAGTAACATGCTAATTCAAATACTATTTGAAATTTCATCTGAAATGCTGTCCTTGTAAACATTTAAACTCACTCTGTGGCCGTGGGCCCAAGGCATTAGGCTGGGGAATACCAGGTTGCTGAGTACCCTGGGCAGCCATGGGTGCCTGGTTGATGATCTGCTTCTGTAGCCTTGAGCGCCTCTTCTCCTCCAGTTCCTTTTGGATTTTGTATATTTTCTCAGCCAGGAAGTGATAGTACTCATCCTACGAGGAGAAAAGTGTGAGGTGATAGAAGGAGATAGTAAAACTAACAAAAAATAATAATCACGTTGTGTAATTTTTCTGGTAAGATGAGGGATCCAAGTTGTGACCCGGTTGAGGCCCGCTTCAGAAAACATACCCGGCTGTTAGCTGACTCGTACATATCCCCCTCCACCTTCCTGGCATAAGCCACCAGGTTTTCCATTCGCCTGTCCTTGAGAGCTGCCGGGTCAGGGGTAGGAAATATGGCTTGTACTCTGCCACAGAAAAAAATAATTTACAGCAATGAAAGTTCTACTACTGTGCTTATTAGGGCTGTCCCGAATTTTTGGGCTCCAGATATTCGGTGGCAATAACTAGCGAATATTGGAGCTAAAAGTGACAGCTGGTATGGCCTCACTAGTTGTCATTTTAATCAGACACAGTGACGATCAGCAAAAGCAGAGGTGGGATACTCAGATATTTGGGTCAAGCCCTAGTGCTTATGACCTTGAAACTAAAGTCACCATCTGTCCAGCAGTAGCGTGCACTTACAGTTTGTGTACCAGGTGATTGCGCAGGTCCTCAGTGACGTGCTCATGCCAGGCTTTTCTGGTGCCTGTAGCAGAGATGGGTGCTGCTGTGGGTAGGTTGCCCAGTGATCCCACAGCTGACCCATCTGACAGCAGCTGACTGGGGGTGGAAAGGAGGAAAAAAAGGTGAGATGTTACATAAAGTGGTGCTTGAAAGTTTGGGAACCCTTTGGAGTTGTCTGTATCATAGCATAAATATGGCCTAAAATGTGATCAGATTCTCATGCAAGTCCTAAAGCTAGATAAAGGGAACCCAAACAAATGAGACAAAAACATTAAACTTATTCAAATATTTATTGTGGAACCTTAATGCAAAGCAGGGCCAAATCATGATACTACCATCACAGATGGGATATGGTTCTTATGCTAGAATGCATTGCTTGCTCATCACCAAACATAATACTGCTCATTAAAACCAAAAATTTCAACTTTGGTCTCATTCGTATACAAAGCACTCTCCAAAAAAGTCTTGTGACTTATCCATATGGACTTGAGCAAACTGTAAACAGGCAGCTACTGTATGTTCTTTTTGGAAAGTAGTGATTTCCTCCTTCCACCTCTGCCATACACACCATTGTTGTTCAGGGTTTTCCTGATGGTGAACTCAAGAACATTGCCATTACGCACTGCAAGAGAGGCCTTTATTTTCCTAGATGTATGGTGCTGAATGGTCTTTATTTGTACACATTCTGCCTGACAGTCAACTAGTGGAGTCCAAACCATTTCCAGCTTGGTGAGCACCAACAACTCTTCTTTTAAGGTCTTCAGAAATCTCCTCTGTTCAAGTCATGACACACTTCCACAAATGTGTTAAGATCAGCCTTTTTACATGCAGGTTACTTTAAATTCTTTAAATAAGACAGGGCCTCACAGACTCACACCTGATTGCCATCCCACTAAGTGGGACACCTGACTCCAATTTTGCTTTAAAATGAATTGATAATCCTGAAGGTTCACATACTTTTGCCACATACAAATGTGTAAGATTGGATCATTTCCCTTAATAGATAAATAAGAGCAATGATTTATTCCATTTTATGTCTTTATCTAGCTTCAGTACTTGCATGAAAATCTGATCACAATTTAGGTAATATTTATGCAGAAAGAGAAAATCCTAGAGGGTTTGCAAACTTTCAAGCACCACTGTATGTACATGTATAGTGCAAAATTTTGCCAGCAACTGTATTAAATGTATAAAAAAAAATATCAGTGAAAGCAGGTTAGTTCTTTTTGGTAGAGACTGACTTGTTAGTGTTGAGTGTGTTGGGAAGGGAGTCTGTGTGCAGGTTTGTCTGTTCTGAAGTGGTCACGCCCATTGTCGCACCTCCTAGAGTCATCTGGTTACCTGTAAATACAGAATGCTGTGAGCAAACAGCTCTGCCTTGGTATCAAAAGCAAGATTAGTACATACAGCTTTGAATGGCGGCCAGGCCTGTAACTGAAGTGCAGTCTACACAGTCAAAACATTAAAATGGAAATTAGATTGCAAGTATTTAGAATAAGAGCTTTGTGTCTGAACAGACAGTACTTTTGCAAAAAATGTAATAATTATGATCTATTTGGGATCTCTGTAATTAGGTGTGCAGTGAATGTACAGGTTAGTATATATATAAACCCAAACTTAACAGAGGATGAAATGTTAGAAGCTTGGAAACAATCATAGAAAAAATCTGCCTGTTTACCAAGTGCATTGATGGGTCTCATCTGCTGCGAAAGCTGTTGTTGCTGGGCCTGTGTGCTCTGTGCCCCTGCCGTCTGTCCTGGGCCGGGGGCCTGCCCAGTGGCCTGGCTGCTGTATGGCAGCCCAAGTGCTGCATAGGCTCTCTGCATGGAGCTGGGGTCTATGGGGGCTGAGGTATTGATGGTGGGAGCACTAGGTTGGCCCACACCAACTGAGGACATGGGGTTCTGGAGGCCCGTATTGGGAGAGTTCAGCATGGCTAGGGAGAGAGACAGAACTGTTAGGCCAACACACAATCATACTGACTTTACTAATTAGCACCTTGCAGGGCTGCTTGCTCTGCTGCCGCACCAGCTAGAGTACATCAACAAAATGCAAATGCTGATACTGTGTGCCAAGTCCAATAAATCTGACAGGAATCTTTTTCAGTGAAAATATGCAGACTACCTTAAAAATAGCACATATAAAACACATGCATTTGCACACTTTGACCTATGGCAAAATGAAGCCCTAACATGGCCACATGATAAAGTGAAAACATGGATATTAGGCTTAACGCTTTAAAAAGCAGTCAAATGAACTGCATAAATCCCTTCAAGGGACAAAGCATTAGCACATTTTTCTGGATTCAGGCTTTGGTCGAACAAAAAAAAAGTGTTCAGTTTGTGCAAAGACATAAATTGGAGGAGGCAGAACAAAGAAATACTGCACACTGTTTGCATTGGCAGAAAAGGCGCACGCCCTGGTATCAACATGCAAGCCATGCAAGGACAGACCAACACTGGAATGCTCTAAGTTTTTATCTTTTATTTTCTTCTCTTATATCAGGTGTGTCAAACTCAAATACACAGTGGGCCAAAATTAAAAACTGGGACAAAGTTGCAGGCCAGGCTCTATATTTATTGAAATATTGAATACAACTGAGCATGTTTTCCCTTCTCTCCAGATATATAATGCTAAACATTTTCATATGGAAACAAACAAGTTGCTTACACATTAAATTTGGAACAAGCAAAGCTTAATGTTATAAACACATGAGAAATCAAACTCCAAATAAAAAACACATTATTGTTTTGTGAACATTTTCTGCCATGAAACCAGACTTCTTTTCATCTCCTCTACCTTCTGGTGCTTCTGCTTCATGTCCGGGTCCTTGTACTTGTATTGTTTTGTTTCATAGTGTCTTGAAATCTTGGGAGGGGTGGATTAAATTTGCCCGAGGTGCCTGGTAGCATTAGGTTGCTAATGAATGTCAACAGAAGGTGCTTGCGGGTCTTGATTGACGTGCCAACGCGCTAGCAAAGCATTCTGGGATTTGCAGTATTAGCGGTGCATTCGATATATACTGGCGGGCCAGCTCTAAAAAACATTTGAAATGATCTCGCACACACACTCACTGCTTCCTCCCACTCTCCCTCCATCAGACTCCCAAATAATAACTGAGGTAAAGATGAGGCTTTTGTAAAACAAACCCAGAGGTCACCATGTCTAGATGCCCTGCTTGTGTTCAGTGTGTGAACTTGATGATAGTTAAGTGACATTGAGCTGGAGCTTGCTACTCATACTTACGCTGCTGGGTGCGTTTGTCACTGGCGTTCTTCAGCGGCAGGCAGACGGGACAGTCATGTCGTGTGCAATTTTTCCAGTGGGAGATGATCTGTCTGGATGACGCACAGTGAGCCACTGCGGAGAAAAACAAAGAGGGGGAGAAAGGTTTAAAATCTTTATGCTGACAGTCTTCTGTATTTGGTCAACACAAGGGATGGGCACCATCACCTGAGATCAATATCATGGTGGTAACATGTACACCAGTAATAACAGATTTTAAAAAAGCTATTTTTCAACAGTTTTCACATCTAGTTATGTTCCAGACTGTTTACTTAGCATGTGCCAACATGATCAACATGGCCAATATGTCCAGTGCATCATCTGAACCCGTTCTCACAGCAGAAGTCTTCATGACATTTCAGTCACTTTCTCTTACACTGGTAAATCACACAGCTTTAACCTGCCAGCACAAAAACAAGACTTCCACACTTTATAAAACACTTCACAAGGAAGGACAAAAGCACTTGCTGACATGCAGTGCTCTATGAGTTGAGATATGATTTTGCCATGAATCATTTCAGGGCTCCAACCAACATTACATACCAATGACATAAGCGCCACCAAGTCTGTCAAATGGTAGCACCAGTGCCAGATTTGGTGGCGCTACTTCTGTTTAACTTTGTAACATAATAGAAAGAATATCTTTTATCCAGATTGTTTTACATTACCTTGCTGTCAGGTATGCATATATTTGTGGGCGACTGTGGTTCAGTGGGTAAAGCAGTCGTCTCCCAACCGGAGGGGGGTTAGAGGTTCGACTCAAGGTGCCTGCCGTCCACATGTCAAAGTGTCCTTAGGCAAGACATTGAGCCCCTAAATTGCCCCCATGGTTAGAGCCATCGGTGTGAGTTGGCGCCGCAGATGGCTGCCTCGGTTTTGTACCGAAAACAAATTCCTTGTATGAAACATACTTGGCTAAATAAAGGTGATTAGATTAGATTTATGATGACAGTAAAAACTCTGTCTCTATGATGTCTACTGATGAACTGGACACACGCTTTGAGGGGGAAGTTGGACGGGGCAGGTGTGAACCAACACCTGTCGGCATGGACCATTAACTACCTCACTGCAACTGCTGCAGACCACCACGTGTCGGGCGTGGTGGTCTGCAGCACAGGGGCGCCCCAGGGGACGGTGCTTTCCCCTTTCTGTTCACCCTCTACACGTCAGACTTCAAGTACAGCTCCCAAACCACTGTCACCTACAAAAGTTCTCTGATGACAATGCCATGGTTGGATGTGTGTGTGTGTGTGAGTGTGTGAGTGTGTGAGTGTGTGAGTGTGTGAGTGTGTGAGTGTGTGAGTGTGTGAGTGTGTGAGTGTGTGAGTGTGTGTGTGTGTGGTGGGGTGGGGGGGATACAGGGGGGTTGTTACTGACTTTGTGAAGTGGTGTGAGGAAAATCGACTGGTCCTGAACACCAGTAAGACTAAAGAGATGGTGACTGATCCCTGGCAGAAATCACCAGTACTCACTCTGGACACCTTTAAATGCCTGGGGGTTCACCTTAACAACAAAATGGATTGGACTGAAAACACTGATGCCCTGTACAAGAAGGGCCAGAGCTGCCTCCACTTGTTGAGGAGACTGTCCTTTGGTGTGCGGGGGGCACTCCTTCAGACATTTTATGATACTGTAGTGGCATCTGCTGTTTTTTATGCTGTTGCGGGCTGGGCAAGAGGTAGCATGGACAGGGACAGAAAGAGACTAAACAAGCTGGTCAAGAGAGCTGGGTCTGTCCTGGGCTGCTCTCTGGATTCCATTGAGGAGGTGGCAGACCGAAGGATGCTGGTAAATGTAATGGTCAACTGAGGTGCAATACTCAAATCTTGGGGTAAAATGCATGGTTAATATGCACATATGTAAATTCTGTTCTTGATTATTCAAATACTTGATTCTGTCTATTTTTGAGTACTTTGAATTTATTTATCAGGATGTGTGTGCGGTGCTTGTTCTCATGGTGTTATGCTGTCTGTTCTCTATTGCCGCTTGAGGTACTGACATTTGTTTATCAAGATATGTGTGTGGTGTTTGTTTCTCATGGTGTTATGTTGTTTGTTCTCCATTGCTGCTGAAACACTGAAATTTCCCCATTGAGGGATCAATAAAGTACCTACCTACCTACCTACCTTTGCCATTTGTGTTCAGAGGATTTATTTGTTGCCTGGTTTTCTTTTGGAGAGGAATTTATGATGTAAAACTTGGTAAAATGCAGCTACTCCTGACATAAGCCCTACTGAAGCACTCAATCTGTTCGGTCCACACCGACTCTGACCGTCTCTGTCACCGTAACAGCTGTGAGCAAAGAGTAACCAGAAAAGCTTTGTTCATCAGGCTGGCTATCTACAGAGGATGAGGGATGGTGAAACAGAAAGCTCACAGTAACACCAAGACCCTGATCAATCATAAGAGAGATCAGTAAAAAGTTTGCATCACACAGATAACAGGTGATCTGTGTGATTTTTTTTTAACTAGCTGTCTGTGGAGGTCAGACAGTCCCGTAGCTTATTCTGTCAGTCCCGTCTTAAATACATTTGGTTGCAAAATGCGACTGATCACTCAGTCTGGAGCCCTGGATTTCTGTTTTGATTAACAACCCAGCCTGACTTCACACTGGAAATTTTCAATGTCATGAGTTTCCTAATAAACTTTGCCTAATTTGCCTGAAAATTAAGTTATATGAGAAAAATGTCATATACAAAATACTCCAAACTAGGACTCAAAAACTTGCTATATGAACATAAAATGAGGGGCCTAGTGGTCCTGTGAGAAAAGAGTAAAAAGGGCTAAAAGGTGAACCAGATGTGAGACCGAGTAGGTGATAGAGTTTAGAAAAAAAGAAATGCGTCTGCCCAAAACTCAAAGCTATCAGGTTCAGCTCACTGCATTCATTTCCAGTCTTGGAAGGGGGATAGTTTGGGCCAGTGGAACCGAAAACTAAAGCGTATTTCCTGGTGAGTGAACAAACTGAGGGACTTCATTTCATCTGTGGCTAGGCTAATGAGTTAGCAGACTAATCTGATGAGAAATCACTAGCAGGCTAAAATCAGTCTTGCTAGTAGCCTGGTACTTCTCCATGCTGCTTCTTATACAATTACTACATGGCTTCAAGGGTTATTCATAAATTAACATTATCTTTGAAAGAACACCAAAACTACTGCCAAAGGCTCACTCAAAGCTGTGCTGTCATGTTGGTGGCTTTTTTTGATTCAGTATGTGGTGACAGGTAAAGGAAGGGCCCCAGAAGTAGGTCCAAAGCCAATCCAAACACTAGTCATACTTCAGACTCCAGAGTCCCTCAGGCAAAAATGAACTAAGCCAACAAACATCTAAAATCTAAAATCTTAACGATGATAACTGAGCACTGGAGAACAAAATCCCTCTCCATGGTTATTTATGTGGCAGTGAGAAGCAGAGAACCTGAGTAAGAGGAAATGAGCTGACATGTCGTGATTGAAGACGCAGACTCCTTCAGACTTAATACACCTTGGTTTCGGAGTATGCTTGGCTCGAAATGTAACAAGTATTCAGATCCAAAAGCAGAGCAATGCCATGAAGCCAAATTTAAATGGGAGCAGCTTAAGGGGAAAATGTTCATCACAGCAATGATGATGGGGATAAAAAAGGAGAGGGAGAGAGCAGACAAAAAGAGAATGAATGGGGTGAGGAGCAGCAGACAGCAGGTAGGAGGTGAGTGTACTTTGACCTTCTGGGATGGCTCAAATCATTCTGCTTTGTTTTTCCACTGTATTTTCTGTGTGTCGATCTCCATTTAGAGTAGGGAGGGTCTGCACTCCCCCCACACATGCAGTCAAAGTTGAGCATTGAGCAGAGGGAGAACAGACCAAGTAAAAGATCACTCCACAGTGCAACAACCAGCCAGTAACGGAGACTGTATGAGCAATTTATCAAATGGCTGTTGAACAAGTATTGCACAGACTTGCAGAAATGTGATGTCCACACTGCACTGCTGTGGTCCACTCACTGAAGTCCCCATTTTACCTCTAAGGGCAGTGACACAACAAAGCCACAGTTGGCGGTTGGCTACTGTCGGACCGTCAGTCGGGGCTCATCTTCCTGGTGTGTCCTGCACCGTTGGCACTAGGTCAGACCCTGTTGGCGGCTTTTTGGCGGATTCAACATGTTGAATCAGTGAGAGAGAGACCACTCTGATTGACTGCTCAACCTCACGAACCAATGCACGTTCAGGAAAAAGCCTCTTCAACCTGTCACTGTAGTACCACCTCCTCAGAGGTGATGAAATTTAGCTCCTGGAATGCACCCCCAAAGTTGGCTGAGGTCAGTGGAAACAAATGCAGAACCCCTGAAATCATTACTCAGCTCAACATGGCTTTCTGTGTTCCAATGCAAACTAAAGAGATAAAAATGAGAATACCAAAGAATTTGTGATCCCAACAATTTTCTAGGAGAAGTGGTGCGCTATCTGACAAATACAGGGGTGCCAATAGTTTTGGAAAGGACTGTAAATGGGAAGTTAAAATTTCCAGCTGCTGCTGCTGGGAAGAAATCTTAACATACAAATATGAGATGACTTATTTATGAAAGAAAGTTGTTGATCCGATTATGATGTAAAACAATCGGGACTGTGACTGTTTATTTCCTAGTAATGCTCTAGATGTCATTCAGTTTACTTTTAACTGCCCACATTCAAGCGCACAGCTGAGCCCCATTCAAGGATTCCCCATCTTTTTTCCTAATAATGTTATAAGATTTATCATTGCTTGCCTGTTTCCCCTGATGTTGCAGGTGTTCTTTTCACCTACTGGTTTCTAAATGTGGTATATGTAAAATTCAAAAGTACTGTGATTTGAAAAAGTTAAACATCTGGCATGCAACTGCAGTTTTTCATTTTGATGTTTGCTATAGTGCTCTGACACTACAAGCTACAGAGCTTTTAAAATACTACACACAACTTTCAGACTAAGTAACAAAGGTCTAAAACCGCCCTCCTAATACAGCTGCAAAGTTGGGGAAAAATGTCCTTTTCAGCACCTACAAATTATCAATTAGTTTTCATCATCTGATAATGGCAAGAACTCCAACTCACCCTGGCAGGACTTGCCAGCCTGGCAGTGGGTCATGTGGTTGAGGACGTTCTTCATGGTGCGGCAGTGAGGCAGGGCACAGGCCCTCACCTCCCCATTGGCTTGCTCCCGTCGCTGGCACTTGTGTGCATGAAGCAGCAGGACCAGCTGCTGCTGGATCAGCTTGCGCTTCTCTGGATCAGCTGTGGGGCCTGCCGAAGGCACCGACACACCTCCGCCGCCAGCCAGGGGGAGCATCGCTGCCTGCTGCTGAGGCTGCTGCTGAAGCTGCTACATGGTGACAAAGACAAATGCATTAAATGGTAATGGGTTAAAATAATGCTGTCAACCTCTTATTGCTTGTCAATACCACCAATTATAGACAGACAAATTCTTATCAATCACTTCAGGTCAGCCAAATCAAGGTGTAAAACATTCCACAAGTTCGGCTACCATTGTATGTGAAATAAAAAACAAGAAAATTTCTTTATCCATAGTTATTAACTGTAGAATATGGTCAACACTGACACACCGCCTACATACAGGCATTATGAGTTGAAGACTTGCACAATCAAATGGTATAAATTAATCATGCTCGTCAATATTCAACTTTGGTAGCCTAAAAAGATAATATTCAAATAGTACTCTATTGTACTTTGTGCTGTTATCTATATTGTAATATCTGATTATGTGTAACAGCGACTAACCATGTTTGGCACACTAGTGACAGGAGCCCCTTTGAGCTCACTGGGGAAAGGAGGCAGGCTGTTGGCGAGGGAAGCTTTGTTCTGGAGCTGCTGCTGAGGGTTTAGCTGCTGGCCAGGCCCTGCAGCACCCTGACCGTAAGGCTGAGGCCCAAATGGACCCCCGTTGCTGCCCAGGCTCATCTGGAGAAACAAAGAGATGACAGAGAAGTTAATATGATGATTTTCCAGCATTAGTTTCACAGACTGACAGAATAAGCTACTTTACAATCTGCATTCAATGCCAGACTCAACTTGATGAATACTTTACCTTTAAAATACTTATCCGATATGCTTAAAACATGTGTAACTGGGGGATTAGAGCTCCCTGTCCCACCAGTCATTTACACATAGCCAGTCACTAACATCTGTTTAAACAATGATGTGACACCTTTAGCCAAACTGTTTCCATAAACAAAGACTGCACCCAGGCAAAGGTTATGTTTTGAGGAGTCCAGGGATGTTGTTACTATTTAGTCATGTTCTTATTCATCCACATTTATCAAAAACAGCACCAACATGCCAACAAAGGTTCTGCTTCCATTTCAATGCCTATTTGTCATTACAAGAGCACCGCTGCCAGTGCAGACCCATCATAGCTGCGCCAGGATGACTGAGCCTGGTTCAGTCTGAACCAGCCCACTGATGCTCTGGCACCGTGACAGCTCAGCATGACTTCCGGTATTGGCAGGAAAGCCTCCTCCACCCCTCCACTATAGAAACATTTACCACTTTTAATCCTGCTCTCTTCTTCAGCTAGTCAGCAGTGCAGTTCCACTAGAGTCAGCACAGTAACAAGCACTGCCATCATTGCTGCAAGTAGATTAGGAAGCCACCAGATAAATGCAGTTCCATTTCTATTTCTTCAATTAGCCACTATGACAGGTCATTAACTACAACTTGGCAGTCATATTTTCAAGATCCCGCTGGCTTGTAGAACAAGCTTTCACCTAAGAAAGGCTCGTAAACAAACCTCCTGCAGTCAGGGGACTCCCCACAGGCAGACAGCATATATCAAAAAGACTGTGCCTGAGCAATCTGGTGCTACTGTGCACCGATTTTCAGTGGAATTGTATTATGATTGGATCATACTGCGTTATTGTTTTGAACATTGCTTCCAATAAATTATTGGGTCAACAGAGAACTACTAAGACTTGCAGTCATACAGTTTAATAAATTGGGCATCAATTTAATTTGTGATTTTTAATACATTTGTCAAATCATGACATATGTAAATCTATTCTTTCCATTCCAGTCATATTGCCCTGGCCTATTTATCAGCATTTTATTTATTTATTTAATTCTCTTTACTGAGGCTGCCCTGTCTCTACAACTGTATTAACATACTGCTGCCAATGTTTTGTATGAATGGATGGTAATATTAGATCTACAGCCTCAGTGTGAATAGGTAGTTTGATTTAAGAGACACTTACTTTACTAGATCATCTGGTTATTTTACCTAGAGTTTAAGTTAACCAAATATTTTCTGTCATTAACTGAATTAATTTATTTTTTATTTTTATAACACCAGAAAAATCTGAAGGCCATTCATCATTTTAACAAATTAGAACACAGTGGGCAATCTACAGTAACTTAAAGTGAGGCTACTAAAAAAACCCAAATAATTGCTTTGGTGTTGATAAACAAGGTGAAAAAAAGAAGAAACCGTGTCAGATGGACAACTGAACTGAGACCTACTCAACGGAACTGGGAGCTGACAGTGCAATGAAGAGCCATGGACCAAAGGCCACAGAGCACATCTATGACCACTACAGATCACAAAGGGGTGCAACAGTGCCACTGGTGCAGAAAGACCGCACACAGTCCATTCCTCCTGGTGAGGTGAATGTTCCAGGATTGAGAAATCCCACATTCTCTTCAACATCTCCCAAGAGACCCCCCCCCTTCAAAACTTTGGCTGAAGTGGAGCTGGCAAGTCCAGTCTCCAGTGTGGCAACAGAGCGCGGGTCAGGCTTTCAGATCAAATTGTAACGACTAATCAACTCTGCAGTAGGCTACAGCAGGTGAGCCGAGTTCAATTCAGTTAGCCTAACTTCTTGTAAATGAGATGTTCATATTTTTTAGGCAACTGCTTAATTTTGTAGATTTGCAGTGTTCATATTTGCTTGTTAACACACAGCGGGCACAGTGTTTTAGGAGCCTCCCACTGTCATTGCAGAAAAAAAAGTCACCTGTTTCCTGTGGTGTTGACATAAATGCCTGCACATAAGCTTGTCCTGTATATTCATTATTTAAAAAAAAGAAAGGAAATGAACGAAAATCAAATGGTATTGAATATATCTAATGATTAAAAAGTGAAAATTAAAATGATGGGTAATAATAAATTGTCCATCACAATTACAGACGAGAAAGTCTAGCATGACCTGGTTTCGGAGTTGAACTTACAGAAAATTTACTTGTGATATGGATATAAAGTCAAATGCCAGTTTATTAGGTACTAGTTAAAACGTACAGTCTAACCCAACAATCCAGGAATAAACCTTCATGAAGGCAATAACGTTCAGTTTTTGTTGAAACTGTTAGAGAGGGGATTCAACTGCTGCTGTTGAACAGTGCTGTATTAGAGGCCGCTCACTTATCGTGAAACAGAAAAATTAGCTTGGTTGCACTGTTCAGTAATTTGAAAAATAGTCCTAAAATCCATCATGAAAAAGAACCAAGATAAGATCGTGGATCATGATCCTGCCTAAAGAGCGCGATACAATATTTATGACCTATTGCCCACCCATAACCCATTATCGCCCAGCATCAAGAACTGTGACCGCACATATTAAGATGTCAGGTGCCAATGGGAATAAAACCTGTTAGTGCCATGCTTTGCTGTTAGCAACAAGCGGCTGCGCTCTCATCCACAGAGCTGCTGGGCAGGCCGGATCCCCTTAGGCTGTTGACACCGTTCCAAAAGTCCAGATAAAAAAGACCCAGCTGAGACGACCAGACACTGGCAGCTTTTCAACACAGTTGAGCAGGAGGACACACACAGTCACACACACGCCCTCTGCTCTTCCCACTCAGTCCCCCTGCTCCGACACACTCCACAAATTGGCAGGCAGGACTGTTGCCAAGCCTCAACTATTCAACTGGGCTGCCCTCCCTTCTTCTTCCTCAATGTGCTCGCCCTCTGTCATTCTAACTGATTAAGTCCTTTACAATACCTGTCCTTCCCTGTGTGACTGACAGGGCAAGCAGCCACCCAGTAAGGCAGAGAAAGTGAGGGGAGTGTTCATGCATATACAGTAACAAAAGAGCATAAATGCCCAGGAAGAGATTTACAACCTGTAATTAAAGCACAATAGAGGAAGCCACACACAAAAACTGGTTTTCTCCTCTGGTGACATGATAATCACGAACAACCAGCTGAGCTTACGACATACACACACCCAAACACACCAAGGCCAACCCCTACAAAAACTGGCAATTCCCTCTCAGATACTTCTACATCAGATTTTTTTTATTGTCCTTGTGGTTATATCATGTGTACAAATTATGTCTAATGTCTACAAACTATCAGAGAATGAATCTCAACACACGCATTCACCATCACTTTCAAGCTCTTCTTTGTAGGGTGTAGCATTCGCCCATGTGTTGTGGTTACACACTGCTTTAGTGTCTTGGCTCTGACATACAGCCAGTAAAATAGATGGCTTCCTATTGATTCCCTCTGATACCACATCGGTGGCAAGCTTATGTATAAGTAGCCAATTACATAATGAACTCTCTTACACAAACACATACACAATTTAGAGTCCCAAGACTAATGCCAAAAGTGAGAGCTGCCAAGTGCGGAGCACAGATTTCATTTCTACACAATCAGTGCACTGAAAATGTACAGAGAGCGAGAAAGACTGTGCAGATAAACTAACAGAGGAGGCAGAAAGGAGCAGTCTGGAGTGTGGGAGACTTCAGTTAAAGGATAAGGCCAGTCGCTTTCTATATTAGTAGTATTTTCAACAGCTCCCATACACAGACTAAAACCAACAATGAACTGCCTCTACACATGGGTAATGTCTGCCAGTCTCAAACCTGGATTAGTTTAGTCGTCGGTGAATAAAAGTAAAAGCTCAAAAATAAAAAAGGAGCAAATTGTGCAACGCTATAAAAATAAAATCTGTCAAAAAAAAATTCCTAAAGCAAACAAGAGGACAATGAAGAGACACCAACATTGGGGTTTTATGTTCCCATGTGTTAGTCAAGTGAGCAACAGCATTCTGGACAAACTGAAGACAGAAATCCCAAAATACAGAGCATTTCGATAGTCAATCCTAGAGGTGATAAAGGCATGACCAGCTTGTGCATCTTAAGGGCACTATCAAATGCCACCCCTATGTTTTTTGTTTTGTTTTGTTTTTTTACATGCGGCTTCAAGTAAATATCCAATGGGCCAAGGTTACACAACTGGGACTCCCAGACAGCACACACTCCACCTTACTATCATTAATGTGTAAAAGATTTAAAAAGATAGACAAGTTTTAATATCACGAAGGCAATCAAAAAGGGAAGTGGGAGATTATTCTTCTAAGTCACAGGTAAATAGGCCTGAAGATCATCAGCATAACAGTGAAAGGACAGGCCATATTTCTTAATGACAGAACATAAAGTAGATACAAAGAAAATAACTGGCCTTGGGGAATCCCGCATGTGAGAGCAGCAATAGAAATAGTCCTCAATGCAGACTGAGAGCCATGCCCACCATTTAAAGCAAGCAGCAAATCATTTGAAGAGCAGATTCTATGCTATGGCAGGATTTAAATCAAGACTAAAATTTTTCAAGAATCATTATCGTCAAGAAAAGACTGCACTTGAATTAGTACAATGTTCTCCAAGCTGTTGGAAAGAAATGGCAATTTGGAAATTAGTCTAAACTTTGATAGTACCAAAGTATCTTTAAAGTCTGTTGAACCACCGCATACTTAAAGACAGACCTGGTGTCTGGTAGAGGCAAATCTGTCAGAAAACAGTGCAACTGAAGCCACTTAAGAAAATGACAAATCATCGCACACATAGATTCATGAGAGGCCAGATTCTACCAACTACTTTGTCTGTGAACGCACTGTTCAAAAGTGGAAAAATCAGAGAAGGCACATAACTGGGTTGGCACCATTGCCAGGCCAGCAATGGACCACCTCCACCTCCTTTAGCCACAGTAAAATGGAAAGAGGGAAAAACCAAAAACTTAAAAATGTACCTAGTGGAGTTTAACCACCAGTGGTGCTGCTGAACAATATTTAATCAGAGGGTTAATTAAGTGTTTGTATCTCATGGTGACCGCACATACACAAAGATGCAGGGGACAATGTCACCTGATGTGGGGGTGGGCTGGGGGGCACTGCCTGAACACTCACCTCTTCTGTCCTCATTTGTCCCGCCATGTTCACTCTTTATATGGAGGCAGAGGCTTTGTTCTCACTGCCATCAGATGGCTAAATGCCTTTTAATAAGGCAAATGAATAAAAAATGATAATACATAATGTGCAATACAATAAGTTGTCTACTGTAAGTCTAAGTCAGCTTTTTAATCTATTTTATTAATTTAAATGTCTTTATTCTGTGAGACTTATTTTTAACAGTCAATCATCAGCTCCTGAGGAGTTGGAAGGAAAGCAGACAAACGGTCATCACCACGCTGACCAAGAGCAGAAATGTTCTGGACAACAGTTACTCGTTTGTGTTGTAGGCACATTTGATAGAACGGAGTTCTAACGCGTGTAAAATGCACTCTGAGTTGGTCTTCAGTGTGCCTGTGCATGTGTCTTGCCATTTTGTTTTACAGGCTTCCTGGGAGAGTCACTGTGGCACTTTATTAAATGATTGGCTGATCTGACTTTTTAGCCATGGCGGCAAAGATTTTGGCACGACAGGGCACCACTCAGAAATGTTACCCGCGGAAACACTGAATGCTGCAAGTACAAGGGTGATGAAATACATAATTGTGCCCACTGCAGAGGTTTCTTTTCTTTTTTTAATTGCAACACGAAATAGCACATTTACAGGAGAAAGGACATAGAAGATAAGACAAACATTAACAAAAGAGACAATTTAGTTGTGTGAAAGTGTGTAGTGTGGATGTATCCAACTCTATGCAGTCTGATATTCAGTATATATTAAAGAAAAATTAAATTAAACCAAATTAATAAATTCAGGGGAGAAGCAGGGCGGTAAATTTTAAAAAAGACAAGGGGAGAGGGAAGCTCAGCAGGGTGAGGTCGCTCAGGGCACCAGGACAGCAAAATCCTTGTGTTATGGTTAAGTTAAACCTTCCCTTTGTTTTACTGTTTGTCGTGATTCATTTAATAGTTGACTGTTGGGACTGAAACAGCTCGCGGTCGGCCCCTGACCTTGGCAGGGAAGATATGACCAATGTGTGGTGTGTTCCCCTCCTAAACAGCTCCCAGACTTTGAGGAGGGAGCACATCTAAGAGGGTGTCAGCAATCCAGTGATGTTATATGCAGTTAAGGGAAAGGAAGCAGTGACCTCCCCCATGCTGTAAACCCTAGAGAGACCCCAAATTGCATGTCCCAGCTGCTAGGGAAAGGGCGGGCCCCAATACAACTACTGGTTTGTTGTTCATGGAGAAAGATGAATGGTAAACAAGACAGTTTGATAGAAAATGATGACTGTGATAATGCAATCGCAATAATAAATGAAAGTAAAGCAATATTGATAATATAAATATATACATATGCATACACACATGCATGTGTACACAGATGTACATGTATACACATTCATAAAACAACGAATTAAACAAATCAGTAAATAAAGAAAGAGGGGAAAGGGAAAAAATGAAAAAGGGGGGATAGGTTATATTCTCTGTTAATCTAGTTTGGTTGATAGGTGTGGCATACACAAAACAGTAGCACAGGCAATGAGAAATGAGGACATGGATCCCTGTGTCACAGTAGTACCCTTACAACAAGAACAACTAACAGCAACAACAGTAAAGATAGTAATAATAATCAAAATAACTGCCTCACTGTCAGTACTCCCATCAGTTGTAATAATGAAAGGAAGATGATGATGACGACGATGATAAGTAATACAGTGTGACCAGGCCAAAATGACAACTATAGAAGGACTATTATTATACTACAGTTATTACTATTATCATTAACTAATGTTAATAATGCTAATAACAACAATAATAGAACAAAAGCAGCTTGTTGTAGTACTAGGAGTTTGTGGCAATGTGTATGGCCTCAGCCCCGGGTATCTTGTTTAAGTTAAGACTGGATAAAAATAGGTTCCAAGTGTCAGTAAAGATTGATATATTATTCCTATGGGTGGATGTTATTTTCTCTAATGTGATGTATTCTATGAGAAGGATGGTCCATTGGTTGAAGTGTAATGATTTTTTTTGATTTCCAGAGTGTAAAGATTGTTTTCTTGGCGATAGAGAAATAAGTGGTTTTATATTTAATTGGTAGAGGGTCGACTTCTGTGATATTACCGAGCAGACAGAGTGATGGTTATGGAGGAATTCTACAGCTCAAGATGGTGGAGAGTTTCTCTGTCACCACTACCCAGAGGGAGTAAACAGCCTGACAGGTCCAAGTAGTGTGGAACTAATCATTGGTGCAACCCAGAGTGCATTGTGAACAAGTATCTGTATCAATGAAATCCAACATTCTACCTTGTGTGATGCAAGTCCTGTGAATAGTCTTCTATTGTATAAGCTGCAAGTTTATATTGGCAGTCATGGAGAAAATATTATTAAAGATGTCAGTCTAAAAGTCGAGGCTGGGGCACCAAAACCTTTTCCTATTTAGTCATAGGTATTGTTATGCTTTTATCTGTATTTGACATTAGTTTATAAAGTTAGATATCTTCTTCTTCAAGTTTGAAAACTTCATTATCTCCTCAATTAGCATGGAAGGGTGTACTGGGTTGTTGATTATATTGATTTAAATACTGACTTTAATTGTTGTTCATTGTTGGCTCTGGAGAAATTCCCCTCTCCCAACTCTGTACTTATGTATTGAATGGGGGACAAGCTGTTTTTTTTTTTTTTTTTTCCAAATAGGCGATGAAGGTGAGCGATTCCTTTGTGTTGCCATGTTGGAAAGCGGATGAGGTTGTTATGCAGTTGAAAAATCAGGGTTGTGCCAAATTGGAGTGTATCTATGTGGTGTTAATGATTATTTAGTGGCTTTGTTCACTTTCAACCAGGCTGTCAAGAGTTGCAGAGATTGTGATATTTTTTTACAATAGTTTATTTTCTTAATTGAGTATGATAAGAAGGCAAGGTCTGCAACTGAAGTATTCTTGCAATGCGTTTGTTCCAATTCTTTCCATGAGCTTTTATTACTGTCCCTCTGAATCCATTTAACTAAACATTGCAGTTCATTTACTAAGAAACAATGCTTAAAAAGTGGTGCTTCTAGGACACCTTGTGATTTCATATTTTGAAGTGTTGACAGGGAAAATTTGGGTTTCTTATTATTCCAGTAAAATTGTGAAGCAAAAGAATCAAGTGATTTGAACCATCTATCTGTGGGTGTCGGAAGCATTGAAAACAGGCAATTAATTTGTGATAAAGTTTTCATTTTGACTGTAGCAATTTGGCCAATGAGTGAGTGGGAGGTTGGACCAGCATGTGAAATCATCTCTCTTTTTAACAATGCAGAGGTTTCTAAAAACATAAGCATTACAGCAGAAACCCTAATGGAAGCAATGTGCCAATACAAATGGACAAGAGAAAAAAAATTGGGTCTGTAAATTACTTTATGAGGTAATAAAAGCATCTAATGTTTGGCTTTAAAAACACCGGTTTTGTGGCCATGCTAGCCAATCCTATGGCTGCAGTTTGCAGTTTTTCCATTGTCCACAAATGTGGAATGATGAACAATATCATTCTAACTGGCTAATTTGTTACACTGGATTAGAAAGGCATTAGGCAAAATGGGGACCAGAGTACCAACAAACACTAAGACTCCTTACCATCAAACTTACGGAGTTTGTCAGCCAGTAGTCTGCATGTTTCCAAATAGGTCACATTCATTTCTTTTCAGTGATGAAATGGTTCCCACCGGTGCTTAATTTGTAAATTATGAGGTCCTGGAATATCACTTGGTGATGGACCCGGCATGTAAATATGTGGAGGTTCCGGAATGAAAAAAGATTTTAATGACCAGTGCATTTATGTAGTTTCATTAAGGGAGCAGTTTAGAGGCAAAACATTATTTGTTGTGTTTGTAGCAACCAAAAAATCACATAAAAGACACAGATTTGAAAGTGCAAGTTATAAATGTCAATTGCAAGTGATACTAAATACATTAGAACTGCGAATCCATTTAATAAGCGTCATATCATATTTGGGGCCTTATTACTCCACTACACATTATTATATTCAGAGGATTACAGCAACAAATTTAAAGCACACCAGAAACTATATAATACATTAAATAAACACCTTCTGTTATTTAAAACAGCCCATAACAGTCATGGGGCAGGAGTCCTCTGTCATGGTATTCTGTGCTTTGCTTCAGTCCTTTTGAAATCCATGACCTCATCAACCTGACTTATACTAGCCTTGTCATTAACAGCTGTAGGCTTTAAAACTGGGCCCAGCTTTACCTGTTTAGGTTCTAATTTCTGACTAGCTTCACCCTGCTGTGACTTGAAATACTTCAGCAAATTCACCTGCCTTTCACATTTTCACTTCATGGCTAACACAGCTGGGCAGGCTGGTTACACTGTTGTCATGTAGTTAGCCTAACTGCCTGTTTTAATTGTATTTAATTATTCCAATTTTAGTCTAGTATGCTGTTGTAAAAGGCTAGTTGTACCAAAAGTAATAGACTTAGGACTTTTTATATACTGTTCATAGTATATTCAATTTGTTTCATATATAAATAAGGTGCCAGGTCCATCAAAATAGGTGTCAGTCACAATTTGAAGGGTGCTGGATCTGGCTTGTTACAGCACAAATTAACCCCTGGTTCCCACCTATGCCACAATTTACACATTCTATGACCAACATACTAATAATTCTATGCAAATGATGAATCACCACCAGAGGCATATTCCACATATGCCTTGATACACTACAGCCCTGAAATAAGCATGCACAAGAATACTCTACACTTAGAAGAATGGGAATAGAAAGGGTTTGTGACTCACTTTGTTCATGTTGCCTGCTTGCTGGGCTGCGGCGAGGGTGGCATGAGCTCCCATCTGCTGCCCGCCTTGGGTGAGCGTCTCTGCCAAAGCACTCCCTGCTCCCACTGGTCCTGGTGCGGCTCCCTGGTACTGCATGCCTGCCACTCCTGCACCCCGTCCTCTCCCAGCTCCAGGTCCGAGACCACCGTTCATCACTTGCCCAGGTTGGGGCTGGCCCCCCTGGGTTAGGAGCCCAGCATGACCCTGGCTATTGTTAATCATGGCCTGGTTGAATCCTGTTGTGTTCAAGCCCATTGCTGCAGCATTATTGTTGTTGTTCTGTCCTGTTACTCCCGTTGGTGTTCCTGCTTTTTGGGCCTGGGGGGATGGATGGTTGTTCGGGGAGCCCTGGCTAAGGGGGCTCTTACCAAGCGGTGTGCCCAACTGAGACCCCATACCACCTGGCTGAGGGCTAGCTGAGCTCAGTCCTGTGCCTGCAATACTGGAAGTGCTACCAGCTCGAAGAAGCTCCGAGAGCTGCTTGTGCTTGGCAGCTGCATCCTGGACAACCGGGGAACCAACACTGCCAAGGCCTGCTGGGGCAACAACTGGCCCACCAGGTCCAGGTGTTGCCCCACCATTTGAAGGCATTCCACCCATCATACCCAGATCTCCTCCATTAGGGATCAACTCATCAGGAAGGTCATTCTCCAAATCATCCCAGGATAGTGACCCTAGATCTATAAAAGAAGGAGATGAAAAAAAAAAAAAAAAGATCAGATTTTAAAGAAGTGTAAAGGTTTCAACAGTCCCAAAAAAAATCATCTTAAGTTATTGAATATATGTATTTCAACATGTCAGAATGAAAAACATTCACTGTCCTGTACCATAAACACCACACAAAAAGCATTCAGTGCTAAGTACTCCTATTTTCTCTATTACCGATGGCAGCTCAACCCACAACTGAACATATGACAGTAGCTATCAAAAACCCAAATATCCTCTTACTCTACAGCTGACCTCTCATCTCAGCACAAACATTCACAAACATTTCCAGTTATGAGCCAATATGCTAACTGGTGTTGCATTGTGGCCTTGGCCCCACAGTGAAAGACTGGAACAAGACACAGTGAGACAGCAAGCGTATTGCTGCTGGTTGGCTGACAAGAATCCAGCAACACTCAGTTTTTTTGGAGGAATATTTGTGTCACACCACCCAGAGGTGCAAGCACAATGCTGAGAGCTTAGGGAGCCGTGACTTGTGTGGGATGGAGGATGAAGACAGTGAGCAAAGATGGAGAGATGTATGTGCATTGGAGTTGTTCTCATCCAGGAAAACCACCTGGTTGACTAATCGGAGGAACCAAAACAAAAAAAACTTTTACATGATTGTGGCATTTTGCATTTAGTGTGTGACAAATGTTCTCCAGAGCGCTAATGTTACTGCACTGAACTGAGCTGCAGTGTGTATACTGCCAATCCGTGATCTCAATCTGTGAGCTAGGTGGGGCACGAGGAGATTTCATTATGATAAAGACATAGGGAAGAAGTGTTTCCAGCAAGAGAACACTCATGTTAGACATGTTAGGAGAACACCAACTCTAATAAAAGCACACAGCATCAGTGCTCATCAACAGAATGAAACAAGCCTACTGAAATCCTCGTCCGTTTTGATAGTCCTGCACTGAATTAGTGCAGCTCCCAGTGTGTACTGCCCTTTACCCGAACTGGATATCCTCAAGTGTCTTTTATTATAAGTCACGTTTCTTTTAATTTTTTCCATTACATTATTATATTGATGATGAGCAGAGGTCACATTAGACCTTTCTTCATTTTCCTTCACTTTGAAGGACAGGGTCATAAAAATTCATATTTTATTATTACCTGTAAATTTTCATTTTTTATAAGAAATGTTTAATAGGATTTAATTTTCATTTTTAATAAAATACAGAACAAGCATATGTGTAGCGACTTTATGTCCACACCACATGAAACAGATGACTTTTTTTGGGCAGTGACAGTGGAGACTATGAGAAACACTGCAGCCATTGTGTGTAAACAAGCAAATATGAATAATGCAATTTTATATACAGT